TCTCAAGCGGTTCCCTCAAAAATCTTTCCCTATAAGTGTGTTTAAGGGCTATCACAATAATTTTATTGGGTTTCACGGCTGTGCGGCTGTAGTTTGTATTCCCCTATACACCTGTCAGTGGTTAAAATTTCTCTCTCTCTCTCTCTAGCGTGGCTGAGGTGGTGCGGTGGGCGCTGGTCCGACGGTCATTGGGCGTGGCGCGCTGATGTGACATGGTTGAAAAATATGGATGAGACTTGCCTGCTTCCCGCGCGTGCGCCCATCCGTGCTCCCGCGTATGTGGCTTAATTCGATTGGAACAAAATAAGGCGCGGCCCCACCCCCTTAAAATCAAGGGATGATTAGATTAGAAAAAAAAAAGAAAAAAACAGTCGTAGGATGAAGTAAAAGCACGGATGGGAGCATGGGAAGGAAGCAGGCAAGCCGGATTCGAAAAATATATAGGGAGATATTGTATCTCTCCCTTTGAGAAGAGATATGTTGTTTCTCTGGAGATCCTAGATCTTCGGGTCTAGGGAAACTGTTGGAGCAGATTTTTGCTTTAACTCTTCCGATTTGTTTTCTTTAATAGAGGAATAGTTAAAGATGCTCTTAGGAAATAAGCCTGCCTGGTACAACACTGCTGGAGCAGGTTTTGCTTCAACTCTTCCGATTTATTTTTTTAATAGATGGACAGTTGGAGATGCTCTTAGGAAATAAGCCTGCCAGCGACAAGGCAGATTGAGGCACATAATCTATCTAGGGTACATCTAGACGTGCCCTAATTATTGCACATCTAAATGACCCAACCACACTACAAAGAAAAAGAAAAGAAAGATGCCTGCACAAATCATTATGTAAAACCAGTGGTATATGACTTAGATGTGCGATACTTAAGGCAAATCTAGATATGCTTTAGCAAAACTGATAAACGATTGGTTACATTTGGTCGCGGAACCGGTGATAGAGAACGGGAATTTAAAGAACAGAAACATTCAACCTTTTCTTTGGTGGGGGAGAGATCAATTCTACAGCCCTCTTCTATGGCCCTGTCCCGTGTTAATTCACACAGGATGAGAGAGCTGGTCAAGCTTTCGGTGCTAATTGTCACCACACGCATCAGATACGCGTTTGAGACTAATAATCATCTTCCAAGCCGAATTCCCCAACAAACTCCCACCTATGAACCTCCACCCCTTGTTCCAGACATTGCCAAACACGCTGTAGGTAAAAATTAAGCAAGAGTATGCGTACACTTTGGGCTAACCTTCGGTGCAGGGGGGGGTGGATTGAAGACCTGCTGCTTGCGGGAAGAGAAACTTTGTAGCGGATCTGGCCCGGGACCAATCGGCCGGCTTGCTTGTCGACCAGAAAGCTTCTGAAGTCCACGAGCTCGTCGAACGGAAAGAGATATGGAGCAGATCCAGCGAGCTTGTTGCGCTCGTTGACGACCGGAAATGATATGTCGTATGGGGGATTCCATCCAGCTAGCGGCCTAGCAACAGGTACTTAAAAATGGTTCCCTCCCATTGATCAAGTAGTAGCTACTTAAAAAATGGTTCCTCTCACCTGCTCGAGTAATCAAGCAGTGGGCTTAATTGATTAAAAGCATGGTTAATAGTACAACCAAGAGCCGGCTGTATGAAATTGCCTTGTAAATTATAGCCAACCTAATAGCCGACTCCTGTAATAGTTAGTCGTACTAGTATGTCATACCATTAATATACTCCCACCATTCCGTAATGATGTGCGCCCGCGTTTTTCGAGATTCACGTTTGACCAGAAATTTAATCAATGTGGGCGACTGTGGCTCGAGAAAAAATTATACAATTGAATTCATATTTGAAAGAAGTTTTCAATGGTATAATTTTTGCTCCTGCCGCAGTTTTTCACGTTGGTTAAATTTATAGTCAAAATTAAATCTTAAAAAGCATGGGCGCACTACATTATGAAATTGAGAGAGTATGACTCATCTTTTTCTCTCACAAAGTTTGTTGAGACTCGTGCTACAACCGGCTATAAACTTGTCTCCCGCTTGTGTTCTCTCTCCTCCAACTAGACATAAACGTAATGTGGCATTCTTATAACCTGCCTATGTCATTCTATTATACTTGCTCTAAGCTATATTTAGACCTCAATCTGAGCAATAAATCTTTTTTCTTCTTCTTCCTTTCAGATAAAGGCCACTAGTTAGTAATACTTTTTCTTGTCCTCCAGTGTTGGTGTGTGTATTGTCAACACTTAGTTTTCAAATGGCCCAGCAGATCGCAGCGAGGCTTACTGGTTTGAACTAGATGGTGGCAATTCCTATTTGCTGCTCACTGCCGCAAATTGTTGACCTGTCACACCGAGGCTAGCAAGCGAGGAACTGACCTGGGCTGGCCCATTTAGCTATTATACTAAGTTCTAACAATTGGTTTTGGGAACCTTCCAGAAGCCTATCTGGTTTGTTACTAGTTTTGGCAACCCTCTAAAACATTTCAATTCAGTGTTTATTTTCCCTTTTGTTTTTCTTAATTATTTTTCAATAAATTTCAAAATTGTTTTGAATTTAAAAATATTTTCAATTTTTAAATATTTGGATTATAAAATCATGGATTTTTTAAAAATGTAAACATTTTAAAATAATTATGGATTTTTTTAAAAATTTGTAAACATTTGTAAAATAGAAAACATTGAGACAACCAAATGAAGAAAATTTGAATCCCCTAATATTTGAGCTTCGACATCCTATTGTCTTGCATAATTAATAAATGAACTTACTAGAGTGAGTGCAACTCTGGAGAGATACCTCCCACCCCCTCGCACCCCGTAGTGTACCGAATCACTAACACATGACCTACGTAGATATAGACGATGCTCGGGTCTTTTGATGATCATAAGGTAAAGCTGGTGTGACGTACCGCTAATAGAGCAGCACACACTCTAGCTAAGGAAGGTTGTGTTAACAATTGTTGTAAGACTTGGTTGGGTGTGGCACCGGATTGTATCGTGGATGTTTTAATCTCGAACTTTGCCAAGAACTAGTTAAATAAAGCAGCAAGTTCCCCTCAGAAAAAAAACACATGACCTCAGTGAGAGTGTCTGGACAAGGCTATTTCAGTTTTCATGCATCATTTCAATTTTTCCAATTGCCATGGAAATTTGTTATTTTTACATATGTAAAACACCATGTCAAATTATAGCTAAAACACCATGGATTTTTTCTTTTGCGGAAAGGACCATGGAAAATTTTAACTTGCATATGCCATGGTTCCTATACAAAGCATGGCAATTATAGCAAATAGACCATGGCAACTTTTAATTTGCATATGCCATGACAATTATTCATTCTTTGTGTTCTTTACGTACACGGAAAATTTCTCATACAAAACATGAAAAATTTAATTAAATATCATGGCAAAATTTATGCCATGATTCTTTATACAAAGCATGGCAGTTATAGTTAAAGACCTTGGAATTTTTAAATTTGCATATGCCATGGCAATTTTGTTCATTTTTATTATGTTTTTTACATACACGACAAATTTCTTATACAAAATATAGCAATTTTAATTAATTATCATGGTAAATTTTAATATAGATCTGCAATGGCAACTTTGTTTTATAATTTGTGTTCGTGCTGCTCATTCTATTTTTCCTTAAAAAGTATGGTAATTTCCTTAAAAAGTATGGCAATTTTAGTTAAACACCATGACTTTTTTTAATATACAGATTCCATGGCATTTTTTGTTCATAATTTGTGTTATTTTACATACACGACAAATCTCTCATACAACACATCAAAATTAAAAATAGAATAGCATGGCAAATTTTAGTATGAATTTTCCATGGCAAATTTATTTTTATATGTTGTGTTTATATTGTTCATTTCAATCTTTTCCATGGAAATTTCCATACAAAACACAGAAATTTAAATTAAAACACCATGGCAAACTTTTAACACATCTGCCATGGTAATTTTGTTCATAATTTGTATTATTTTTACATACAGGACAAATCTCGCATCCAACACATGGAAATTCAAATTAAAATAACATGGCAAATTTTAATATGAATCTGCCATGGCAATTTTTTGTTCATAATTTTTGTTTCTTTCTGTTCATTATATTTTTTAACATGCTAATTTTTGCCATGGCAATCCCAGAAAATGTCCATGTGACGATTATCAAAGAGGTTGCTAGAATATTTTTATCCCACATATTTTTAGAAATTAAAATGTTGTAAAACTTGCTATTGTAAAAAAATAACATCCTGTAAAATCATAAAATAGTCATGTCGGCTCAAATGGCATTTTTTGGAAAAATTTCATTTTCTGCATTATCAAAATACTTCGGCTAGCTTCATTTAGGTGGCAAATGTTACATTTATTTTGCAAATTCAATTGCTGAGCCATGAAAATTTGCATTTTACTGGACAATGACTAATTTTACATCCATTCATTTTTTAGCCATGGTAAATTTCGGAAACATATAAAACAGTTTTATTTGCATGGAAATCATTTTTAAAAGTATGGCATCTAGTCATGTCAAATTTGTTATTCATATATAAAAAGAGTTTTTGAATCTTTTTTCAACTATGGAGCTGTTTTAGTCCTTTTTATTGTAAAAGGGATGGCAAGTATGTTCCTTGGCCTGTTTTTTTACTATGTTCAAGATGGGTCTTTTTTCGGCCCACTTTTGTTTCTGGGCCGTGATTTTTGTACGAGGACTTTTATTACCATGACGAGGTGGCACAGTGACTATTTCTCGCCTTAAGCGAGACATAAGCTAGCATCATTGAAGGTTTTTCCTTCCTGTAGGTTACTGGGCCGGCCTGTTTAAAAAAAGGGACAACCAGGAAAGGAACGCTGGTCTGCAGTGTGACGCGCAACACTCCTTGCCACTCGGCTAACGTCGCATTCGTGCTAAGTATGTTAGGCGCATTCTACTTAACGCGAAAAGAGCTGGCTTTCCCGTTTTTTCAATGGATTTTTCGGATTTTTTTCTGTATTTGTTTTTCTTTTGTTTTCATCGGGTTTTCTATGTTTTTATTTGATGGTTTTCTTTCCTTAACTTTTTCATTGTTTCTTCGGGTTTCTTCATATATTTCTTGGTTTTGTTTATTTTCTATTTTTTTCTTTTTCTTCTTCATTTTCTAGTTTCTTTCTTTAGTTTTTGCCTTTTTCATTTGTTTCTTCACTTTTTGCTTGTCCGGGTTTGTTCATCTTTTTTTTTCTCTGAGTTTTTTTATGTGTTTCTTCAGTTTTTTTATTTTACTTTTCCTTTGGTTTATTTTGTTCCTTTTTTGGTTTTAACTTTTGTGGTTTTCTTTGTTTGTTTTTGCCTTTTATTTTACATTTTTATATACATGATCAATATTTTTTTAAATACTTGTTCAACATTTTTATATACATGATCAACATATTCTGAAATACTTGTTTAATATTTTTTAAATATTTGTTCGACATTTTTATATACATGATCAATATTTTTTAAAATACTTGTTCAATATTTTTTATATACATGATCGACATTTTTTCAAATATTTGTTCAATAAATTTTATATATTTTTTGACGAGTGTTTTTTGTAATATATATATTTAGAGTATATTAAATATAAAAAAGTACAAAATAAAATGAAAAAAGAAAACATAAAAAACAGGAAAAAGAGGCTGTGGCCTCCTGCGCTCGTGGGCCAGCTCCGCTCCCTCGCCCTTCAGCGAGTCCGACTCGCTGAAGGCGAGATATAGGTACGATCCCATTGAAAGAATCGTTCAATCTGCTCCCCCATTGAACTCGAACGTATCTTTTCGCTCGGACGGGCTCCCAGATCTGAGGTTCAGTCAGTATTGACGCCCAAAGTATAAGGTCCTTGTGCGGTATGGAAACAATGTGCAAGAGGTATTGACTTCCAACCTTAAGTCTATCCGGATCGGACAGAATACTCAAAATTCCAGCTGCACACACACACAGCCTTGGCCTACTCCTGTTCTTTCTTAGCAGTTTTTTTTGCTCGTCGACTTCTCGTCGAGATAGTTGCATACATGGTCTATGAGCTCAGAACATCTTGACTGTAAGCAACATAATGACACACTAATCGACCATGCATGATCCATATATAGATAGATCTGGACATAGCAAAACTATGAACAAACAATAGCTTTTTTTTTTTTTGAAAAGGGGGGACTCCCCGGCCTTTTAGATCAGAACGATGCATACGGCCACTTTTATAAATAAACAAATAGGTTCAAACAAGGTCTGACCACACATGTATTCTGAATTGGCAAGAACAATACTGAAGAAACTGAAAACACAGTGGCCTTGTTGCAAAGACAGGTGCCAAAACTGAATATGCTTGTCTTCCAGCTGAAGAGCTTCTATTCTGACGGAACTTACCGCCCGGTAACGTCCCAATGACAGCGAAGAACGGTGGAGGCGGTGACAACCGGAAGACGTAGAAGTGAATTGGCCAAGAAATACAAGAAAGCCCGGCGAGACAAGAAAGAAAGCTCATGGTGCCGTTAAGAAAGAAGAAAGAAGATACATTAAAGCTGCAGGTTGTGACGCAAAGATAAATCAGAAAGCCCTCCCAGGGATGAAGAGGTGGCCTTGTGGCGCCCGTCCCGCCCATCGTGCTGCCCTTCCATTTCCGCCAGCAATAGCATGATGCTACACCACGCTTCAGGGTCTGCCGGCACTGACGTCCAGGCCAGTGCAGAGCACTCATACCGGCTGTGTGTGATGCGGCGGAAGCACTTGACATCCTTGCTTCTCATCTTATTGTCATCTGGGTTGATGTTCACCACGAAGATGACGCCGTAGGGCCGCGCCCCGTGCATGGACATCGGCAACGAGTTCCGGTCCACCGGCACTGCCGCCAGGTCCATTGTCACAGCAATGCTCCTCCCGTCCGGGCTGAACACCGGGTAGTCCACGTGACCGCAGTAGCCATCTAATTCGTTTATCAGTTTGATCACCACCGTCGGGTCGTACGCCTTCACCAGGTACACGGAGAAAGACCCCGGGGCCATGCTGTTCTCCCCTGGTTTGTCACGCGTCGACGAGAAGGCGACCCAGTCCCCTCTAGGAGACCACTGGCAGCGGGTGTCTGTCCACGACCCTTTTGTCAGCCGCGTCACCCAACCTTCCTCGAATCCCTTGTCATGCTGCTGCTGCTGCTGCCGTGAGTTATCCTTTTCTGCAACAAAATCCCTCGTGGACTGAAAGACGAATTTGTTCCCATCCGGGCTGCTCGATGGCAACACATTGTTGAACCCGCCATAGGTGAGTCTCTGGACCTGTCGCTGCACCGCGACACCAGAGGCGTTACTGATGGCGTAGATCTCCAGCGACTTTTGAGCATTCAAGTAGGTGCTAGTGCTAGTGCTAATGCAAACGTAGAGGATGTCCTTGTCAGGGTTCTGGTTCCACACAGGGGAAAAGATGCTGTCCGGCTCTCTTGTCTCGTACACGATGCGCAACCCTTGGCTGTCAGCGATCCACACAGCTTTGAACTCTTTATCGATGAAGGCGAGCTTGGAGCCGTCCTTGGAGATGGCCGGGAACGCACCGGACACCCGAAACAAACCAACATCCTTCACCGGGGACTCCAGCCTGTGCAAATTCCTGGGGACATGGTCTACGCGCTGTACAAGGTCACTCCCACTCCTGCAGCGGTGGTATCCAATGCGGCCACCACCGTCCAGCACGAAGGGGTTGTAATGGTCGCTTTCCGGCCTCATCGTCTGGGTGATCTGCACCGGTGGCAGCCCATTCATATCGAAGATCTCAATGTGCCGGTACTGTGCCATCATGGGAGCACTGCCGACTAGGGGCCGGCGGATGGTCGCCACAGCTACCTTGGTCTCACTGATGGCTGCTGGAGTCACCGCATTCGACATCTCTGAAGTCACTCGGACAGTCTCTTTGGTGCTGATGTTGTACCGGAACACGCCCCAAGTTGTTTGAACCATGTTGCGCCATTGAATGAAACTGCTGGTGCCTCTATGGAAGAAGAGGATGTTGTCACTGCCCCAGGATGGCCACCCACCATTCTCGATGAGTAGCTTGCGTCCCAGGCCCTCCTCACTATCCATGTTCATCACATAGATGTCAGTCTTGAGGTTCTCGCTGTTCCAACTCTTGCTTTCAAATGATGCCACTGCTAGCAGCTTGCCCGATGGCGACACAGCTGGACTCAAATCAGACACACCTGCACATGTCATATATATAGTGTAATTAACTGAATTGTCACATTTCATATATACTAGGATTAACTGGAATGTCAAGAACTTGTCGATCCATTGGTGCATGAAGTATATATATTAATTTATACCTTCAGGAGTCAGCCGCCGCGTCTTGCCTGTTAAAAGGTTGGTCTTGTACACGACAGTCCAGGGGCTGCGATATTCTTGCACCGCCTCTTTGGTGGAGACGTAGATGAGAGAGGGGTTAACGGTGCGAGACTCCACATTGTATCCATCGACGATGCAACCACTATCCTCCAGGCGTGTGCCACTGAAGCCTGCAGTGCCAAAGATGTCAGCGAGCGAGAAGACCTTGACCCTGCTGCTGATACTGAAGCGCAGGGCAATGTATAGTGTCTCATGGCCGTCATCCCTCTCAGACATGAAGATCAGACCAGAGACATGGCCTGCATCAACATCCGCATCGCTAGTGCCGTCCTCTTCTGCCAACTTGGGGCTCTTGAGGAGGGTCTTCAATGCGGCAGGAGGGATGGAACGGCCGTTGTAGTTATAGGACACACCATCCGTGAGGTGGAGCTCTTCATCACTGGAGGAAGGTGAGAAGGAGCAGGAGAAGATGTCGAATTGCTCTGGGTGCCTGCAGGTGGTAGAGAAAACGATTCGGCCTCGGTGCTCTGCCATACAGTGATGAAGGAAGAAATTAGTGGCTATGAAGACCAAATGAGTTAGACGATGCACTAATATTCACAAGAGGTACCAAGGTGTGCTGATATTTAGAATTTTTCTTAGCACCTAATTTGTTTTCAAGGAGAGCACCTAAAAGTTTAGTAGTTGGTACTATGTGTAGATGCAACTGTTTAGTTATTGGAGGGGTGCCCCTAGGTAGACGAAATATCTTCCAGAGGTTTTTTTCCTTCTTCTAATCATTATCATTAGTCCCTCTGTCGGGATTTAACAGAGGTAGTATTCCAGATACACTAACTTTTATGGATGTAACGAACATTTGTCTGGCTGTGTCTAGTTGTTTTTTTATGGCACGGCTAGATTTGTTCCTTTAATTACTCGGGGAGTCCGGCGTATGGGGTTGGTGTGCCCTGTTTTATCATGCTGTTATCTTAACGTTGACATCCAATACAGTTATAAAAGTGAAATACTATCTCGGAAAAAAAAACATTTACTAGATTAGCTAATTGTATTTCTCAGTCAAATCTAGTACTGATAAGTAGCCAAAAATTGTATTTTCTTTACTGGATCATTGACAAGTTGGATAAGCAGTCGGTTACCAAAATTACTGGCTAGTTCACAGCATAATCCTAAGCCTATCTCTGTGGCACCTCACTGTCTGAGACCACACTAAGGACGTCCTCACACAGTCTGCACCGATGATTTAACTGAGTCTTTTTTTAAGCAACTAATTTTTTTTTTCAGGCAACTGGGTTAACCGAGTCTCATGTGCTCATTCAATTGCCATATCGATAATGGTGATAGTTGATCTATTAATTTAATTAGATTGACGATAAGTGATTATGACGATAGTTGAGCTACTAATTTAACTAGATCAGCGATAGGTGATGTGGAAATTATTTTAGGCAACACCAATTTGCGATTGGCGGCTGGATGATATTCTAGTTCTTTTCTTGAGAGATTATATTATAGTTCTATAATCGAGATATTTACCTGAGTTTGAGTTTTGGTTCTTGGCGACCTGCAACAACAGAATTAAGAGGTCAGTACTTGTTTATATAGGTCTCTTTTCAGTTGTGTACAAAATGGAATCTATTCTTCAAAATGCTGCTTACTAGTCCTAATAAACATCATTTTTGTTAGACGCACTTAAAACTACATTTTATTGGTCAGTAGTTGGTGGCGAAATGTGCATGAAACATCCGGTGCCCAACTTTTATTTTCTTAGATGTCAAAGAGGTATACAAGTACTTTGAGTATTGAGAGTTCTCTGCTACTGTAATAATATACAGCTCAAGAGTTATGCCAATAATATTTTCATCTTAGAAAATAGTGTTGTTGTGACTTAAATATCAAATGCAAGATGCGCATTGCACTGCATATAGTTCAAATTAGTATTAATCGATGGGGGTCGTTTTGGCATTTTTTTTCCAAAAATAATATTGGCAGCTAAAACCTTTTCTTAATTTCTAGTAACTTCTTAGTTATTACTACATCCATTTGTAGCCGCAGTTTCATGTTGGATACTGTATGCATGTCCAAGACGCCATCTAATTATTATTATCAAACTTTTGTCTACTTATTACACCTATAAATATTCAGAAAGACTAGTCATAGTGACGGAACTTTCAAAGAGTGGGTAAAGGACAGAGTAATGGAGTTAAAAGATTAGACTCTTATGATGAGTGGGAAGCAGCAGAGGATATGGCAGAGGATGTAGTTTCATCATGCCGTGTAAATACTAGACTACAACCCACAAATATATATACCTGGCCTGTAAGTGAACCTTCTGCAGTATCAACCTGGTTCAGTTCATCAACAATCTCAGCTATAGTAGGTCTTTTCTCACGATCGACCTCCACACACCTTAACGCTATCTCAATGCATGTCTCAACTTGCTGTGATATATGTGAAGACATTGTTGCCTGCATTCGTTTTCCCCAATTTTCACGTACCTGCAAAGTCAGAACATAATGGCAAAAGGTGGCATCAAAAGTAAGCAACAACAGGATTAAGTGTGTGTGAACTGTGTGAAGACAGGATTTTTGTTCATGATACCGGATATCTTCTCCACATGCTCAAGAAATTCCTGTGAAGACATATGTGCACATTTGGAGTAACCCTCATCTCCTGCCATTATCCGTATAATTATAACACCCAAACTAAATACATCATGCTTCGATGTGATTTCATATCTCTCTATGTATTCTGGTGGCATGTATCCACTGCATGGTGTGTATATGTAATACACAATTATTCTCTTAATGTATTTGAAAAAGAAACTTGATTGTTTATCATGATGAATCAACTTACGGTGTTCCTATAATTTTGATTGTGACATAAGTTTTTGTTGAAGGAAAGAGTCTTGACAGACCAAAATCTCCAATTTTTGGGACCATGTCCTTGTCCAGCAATATGTTCGCAGGTTTCAAGTCAAGGGGGTAAATAGGATCTTTGCATCCATTATGAAGGTAATCTAATCCATCACAGACTCCCTTAATAATTTTGAAACATGTGTGCCAATTGAGTCCGCAGGATTCATCTGTAGAAAGAAACATGTGATGTACTATTACCAAGCCATACATTTAGGAATACAGAAAAAGGCACACACACATAACTTTAGGGATCATTTTCCTTTAAATGCACATAACACTATGGTCTAAGTGTAGCAGCATAATACCGGTAATATACTTGTCAAGGCTTCCACCCTGCAAGTATTCAAAGCAGAGAACTCTTTCTTCCACAAGGGCAAAAATATATTCACCGCCATGCTTAATGCGTTGATGTCCTATATCATAGCAGTAGCCAACCAACTGGGTAATATTTGGATGTTGGGCCCTCATAAGATGATTAAACTCATTCCTAAATTGCGTGTCATCAAGCCCGGGCATGTGATGAAGCTTTTTGAGAGCAATCTCTTCCCCATTTTCCAATACTCCCTGTTAAGATAAGATATTACATGGGCTCTTGCAGTTACCTATAGTAGTACTTATTAAGAGTTGAAATTCCACAAAACGGAGGTAATAATCTTACAAACATACCTTGTAAACCACTCCATATCCACCACGACCAATGACGCGTTCTTCAGAAAAATTGTCTGTAATTTGTCCCAAGAACTCCAGCGTAAACACCTTTGTCGTCGCGCTTGTGTGTTCGAAATTGTCCCCCATGGTAGCTTATATCTCCAGCTAGGATTGACTAGCTTGGCCGTCTATTTTCTTTTTCTTTGTACTGTAATGTAATAACACGGAAGACCTTCCATACAATTTAGATAATTTGTACGGAAAATAGACATGCTGCACAGTATATTTTAGCTTCAAAAATAGTCCTCCGACTCGTCCCTGCAAGAGCACCAAGAACACGGTACCTGGAAGCAATGGCCTATTGGATCCCGTATTCTCCCTCCATCCCTGCCGCCCGAGCCATTCACTGCCGACCAGGCGGCAATGACAGCTGACGGAGCCGCGGCTGGCTACAGCTTGTGGAAGCGGTATGGGTAACGGGTGGAGAAGACGCCGGTCCGGGAAGCAGAGGGCGGCGGTGGCGGCGGCAGGCCCGACGGCGGCGAGTTCGTGGCTTGCAGAAGCGCCCCCCTTTGGAGTTGGATTTGTGCTTGGGAATAACACAGTGTGGCGGGCCCCTCAAGTCCCCAGCTGTAACTAGCCTAGGGCATTTATGTCATTTTTCTGGAACGACACTCGCATACAACTACAACTAGTAGCAGCGCTCTCCAGTCTCCACTCTTCCCAGTCTGTCTCTTCCTCCACGCACACTTGATAGAAGAGCATATAAGTCATGAATATTTGTAAAGTAAAACTAACGTCTCTAAGAGCATCTTCAGCCGCGCCCCCAACAGACCCTCTTCAGGCGATTTTTCCGCGCCGGCGCCGAAAAAACGCCCCAGTCGCGCCCCCAAGACGCCGAATTCTGCCGGCTCAGCCCGTTTTTGGGTCCGGCGATCGCAGGATGAACCCGACGCACTAGGGAGCGCTCGGGGGCTCTGGCGCAAGGGAAAAGCGCACCTGGGGCCACACTGCCAGGCGAAAAGTCAAGCCAACCGTTCAGATTCGATTCGCCTCCGACCCCCCACCCCCCCGCGCGCGCGCTCGGCCGCCACCCTGCCGATCTCGGCGCCGTCCACCACCCACCACAGCTAGATAGACCATTTTCCTCTGGAAAAGAGAAGATGTTTCGCCGAGGCAGCCTCTCCACCGCCGTTCGGGCAACTTTTCCGGCGTTCCGGCCGCACAAGGGCTGTACACCGACGGGTGTGCGCCCACCTCGCCCGCAAGGTGTTCGGTGATTTGCCTGGCCCGGCGATGGACTCGGACGACCAGGAGGCGCTCGCGGCGTTGCTGGAGGAGGAAGACGAAGCCGACGTCCAGGAGCAGGAGCATCTCATGGTGCTCGCCGCCCTCGTCGGCCTGCTCGCGAGCAGTGAAAAGCCGTGGCGAGGTGGCTCGGCACCGGGGCGGGTGAAAGCAAAGAACCGGCATCGTCTGGAAGGCTATTGCATGCTCTACTCCGACTACTTCGCCGACGCTCCATTGCACGGCGAGAAAACATTTTGGCGCCGTAATCAAATGAGCTGAAAACTTTTCCTCAGGATTGTGAATTCCATCCGGGAGTTCGACAGCTACTTCAAGTGCAAGAAGGATTGCACCGGCACACTTGGATTCACCTTAATCCAGAAGTGCACGACAACTATGAGGATGCTTGCATACGGAGCTCCCGATGATTCACTTGACGACTATGGGTGCATGGCCGAGTCCACCACCATTGAGTGTTTCTACAAGTTCTGCAAGGCAGTGGTGGCAGTGTTTGAACCGCAATACTTGCGAACACCCAATGCGGAAGACACAGCTCGGATCCTAGCACAGAATGCAGCAAAGAGGATTTCCTGGGATGCTTGGAAGCATCGACTACATGCATTGGAAATGAAAAAACTGCCCATTTGCTTGGCAGGGGTTGTACAAAGGCGCCAAAGGCGGTTGCAGTTTGGTACTTGAGGCAGTGGCCACACAGGCCCTCTGAATTTGACACTCTTTCTTTGGGATGCCAGGAACTCACAATGACATCAATGTCCTGCAGTGCTCCCCTGTCTTTGCCAAGCTTGTTGAAGGTCATTCTCCTCCGGTGAACTTCGAGGTCAAATGGGCGGCACTACAACAAGGGGTACTACCTAGCTGATGGCATCTATCCGAGATGGTCGACATTTGTGAAGACTATCTCAAACCCTATGCCAGGAGGCAAGAATGCCTTCTTTGCGAAGGTTTAGCAGGCTTGCAGGAAGGATGTCGAGCGGGCATTTGGTGTGCTCTCCTATCTCGATTTGCTATTATCCAGTACCCTGCTCAGACCTGATCGAAAGATCAAATGTGGGAGATCATGACTTGTTGTGTCATCTTGCACAACATGATCATTGGGAGCGAGCAGGAAGAGCTAGTGTTTGACACAGAACCATATTACAGGCAGGGTCCTCTTGCCGAAGTTGATCACCAGCTACCGGCAACCTGGACTTCCTACCTCAATATGCGTCAGGAGATCCGAGACCCACAGGTGCATCAAGAATTGCAACACGATCTGGTGGAGCACCTATGGAGGCTCAAGGGTGACGCCGGGAATGATGTGTGATGAAATATGAGTTTTTATTTGTTGAACTATATAATTTGTATTGAAATATTTTTGAACTATTTGATTTCTATTGATTTTTTGTGATGAACTATGGAGGCAAAAACACGCCGAAACACGTCGAACTATGTGATGAACTATTTGATATCTATTTTGTTGAATTATTTACGGGAGAATTCACGCCGAAGCACGCCGAACCGCGTTAAATATGGGTCAATTCACACAGATATCGGGCCGTTTTTGACAAAAGTGGGTCGAATAATGGGTTAATGTCCTATATCATAGCAGTAGCCAACCAACTGGGTAATATTTGGATGTTGGGCCCCCATAAGATGATTAAACTCATTCCTAAATTGCGTGTCGTCTAGCCCGGGCATGTGATGAAGATTTTTGAGAGCAACCTCTTCCCCATTTTCTAGCACTCCCTGTTAAGATATTACATGGGTTCTTGCAGTTACCTATAGTAGTACTGATTAAGAATAGAAATTCTACAAAATGGAGGTAATAATCATACAAATATACCTTGTGTTAGATAATGACGAGAAATAAACGAGACAGAGAGACACTGATTTTTACGTGGAAACTCTTGTGGGAGAAAACCACGGACGCACGAAGGCGCAATCACTATGATGGAGGAGTATTACAAGAACGAGACGACAGACTGTCTTAGGTGCGACTACATGGGGTATATATGAGGGGCAACACATAAGAGTCCTGGTAGGACAAGTAAACGAGTTGTACTCATACACGTCGGTATCAACGCAAAGTCCACACCGTATGTACTACGTGTAGTCCAATACGATAGAATTTGGATCACAATTTAACAATCTCCACCTTGAGCCAAATTTCCTCCAGTAGTCGAAGAAAGTGAATAACTCCATCCAAATCAGCATAAACACCTTGTGCGTCAAAGTCCATAGGACTAATGAGAAATACCAACTAAGCCTGAGCAATGCTCAAACTTATTTGTCGGAACTGGCTTTGTCATCATATCAGCAGGATTATCATGAGTACTTATCTTGCATACCTTCAAATCACCTTCAGCAACAACATCTCGAATATAGTGATATCTGACATCAATGTGCTTTGTTTTCTCATGATACATTGGATTCTTCGTAAGATATATAGCACTTTGACTGTCACTAAACACAGTAGGGCAAGATGAATCTCCACAAAGCTTAGTATATAAACCTTTCAACCAGATAGCTTCTTTGCATGCCTCAAAAATAGCCATATACTCGGTATCAATAGTGGAACAAGCCACAATAGACTGCAAAGTTGCTCTCCAACTCACAGCACAACCACCAATGATGAAAACATAACCTATGAGTGATCTTCTCTTATCCAAATCACCAGCAAAATCAGAATCAACAAAACCAAGAAGTCCATCTCCAGTTTTCCCAAACTATAAATAAGCATTAGAAGTACCTCGTAGGTATCTGAAAATCCTCTGAACTGATTTCCAATGCTCTTTTCCAGGATTAGCCATGTATCTATTGACAACACTCAATGCATAAGATAAATCCGGACGAGAACAAACCATGGCATACATAAGTGAACCAACTGCACTTGAATAGGGAACTCTAGACATGTACTCAATATCTGCATCTGACTTAGTACATAAAGCTGATGACAATTTAAAGTGTGCAGCTAACGGTGTACTCACCGGCTTGGCATTATGCATATTAAAACGCCGGAGAACTTTATAAATATATCCCTTCCGACTTAGATATAGTTTTCCAAACGGTCTATCTCTGGATATTTCCATGCCGAGAATTTTCCTTGCTGCACCCAAATCCTTCATCTCAAATTCATTACTCAATTGCTTCTTTAGTTCATTAATCTCTGACATACTCTTTGCAGCAATAAGCATATCATCAACATAAAGGAGCAAATAAATAGTTGAACCGTTGACAGTTTTCAAATAAACACAACTATCATAATTAGACCTTTTGAAACGTTGAGAGAGCATAAAGGCGTCAAATCTCTTGTACCACTATCTAGGGGATTGCTTCAATCCATAAAGAGATTTCCTTAACTTACAAACAATCGTTTCTTTTCCAGGAATAACAAAACCTTCTGGTTGTTCCATATAAATATCCTCTTCTAATTCTCCATGTAAAAATGCAGTTTTAACATCCAATTGTTCAAGCTCAAAATCATGCATGACAACAATACTGAGTAAAGTGCGAATAGAGCTATGCTTCACAACAGGAGAAAAGACTACGTTATAGTCAATACCTAGAATCTGGCTATAACCTTTAGCAACTAACCTTGCTTTATATCTTGTCTCATCATTAGGAGAAACACCTTCTTTCCTCTTGAAAACCCACTTGCAATAAATAGGTTTCTTCTCTCTAGGCAATTTTACTAAATCCCAAGTGCCATTCTTTTCAAGTGATTCCATCTCATCATGCATAGCGGTCATCCACTTATTACTATCACCAGAAATAATAGCGTCGGAATATGAAGAAGGCTCAGAATTACCTTCAATTTCTTTTGCAACAGATAAAGCAATAGAAACAATAATATTGCACTC